TCGGGGCTGAGGGAGGGATGGACGCCGCCTTCCCCACCCGCCTCGGTGTGTCCCGACACCCGATGGCCCGGAGGCTTCTAGCATCCACCCTGCTGGCTGTGCTGCGGTCATCATTATCTCCCCGTGCCACAGCCATGTGAACTGGAGCCATGAGCTCCGAGGAACTGGGGGTGTGGGGGGCAGCCACACCTACTGCCCCCCATCCGTCTCCCAGGGGCCGGTGGCCCAGCAGGTGCACAGGAAGTGCGGACCGAAGGATGACAGACAAGGGCAAGGGGACCTCAGTTCCAGGCCCGGCTCTTACGCCTTAAAAAAAAATCACTCCTTTGGGCCTCCATGTCCCCCCACTTCCTGTAAAGTGGGGGGCGCTTAAACACCCACCCACACTGGCTGCTGGGAAATCAAACCAGGGAAGCGTCACGTATGACAACACCGGTGAAAAATCATCAACGAAACGGTTGGGCCGAGCGCACTGATCGGCAGGTGGGAGGCTGGGAACAGTGTGGGGAACAGACACTGCGCGGGGAGGGGACAGGCGGCAGCGCACAGTGGTGCTCACAGGCAGAAGCATGCTCGCAGAAGTGGGGCCCCTGGCAGAGGACGGGGACCTCGGGGTGCCCCCCACCCCCCGGCCAGATGGCCACGTCCATACCTGGGCCGCCGCATTCCCCTCTGGGCACCTCGCTCCCAGAGGCGTGGGACGCTGGAAGGAAGTGAGAGAGGGGTTAGGAGCCATGGCACGAGCAGCGGGGGGGGTGAGGAGGAGGGAGGGGAGGATAGGGGAAGGGGGACAGGGCGGGAGCAGGGCCAAGGGCCACAGGCAGCGGCGCCACTGGCCGCCCCCCTGCCCCATCCGGACAGCCCTTGTCCTTGAACCAACGCCCCTCCTCCCCCAGACTCTGGGCACCAGCAGCCCCGGTCCCCCGCAGTGGCCCCGGGCCCATGAGGGGGTCCCGCAAGGCGAGGAGAGAATCCCGCTTGGTCCTGGGTGGCCTCTGACAGGTCACCGCCTCCTATGGCTCCTGGCTCTTTCCCGGGACCTCTGCCCTCAGACACTGAGCCCGGTCAGGAGGGGCTGCTGGGCCCTGGAGGCCCCCACTGACCCCTGGCCTTTCCGTTTCTCGCCTTCCGACAAGGCCCAGGGCAGGGGCCACCCCTTCTGTCACTCAACCTGCGGACAGCGACGCGGGCTTGCCACACACACGCCCCACGGAACCTCCGAGCTGGGGACGGCCACACTCCGCTTGCAGGTGAGGAAACGGAGGCACAGAGAGGGTGAGTCACTTGCCCAAGGCCACACAGCATGGGGGCAAGAGTGCGCTGGCCCCAACAGCCTGTGTCCCTCATCACCGGGCTTCCTGCCCCTGCCTGCTGACCCCAGAATGTGGTCCCACCCCTTCCGCACGATCAGACAAAGGACAAGTGGTGTAACCCCCAGGCATCAGTGGGTTCATCCGCAACATGGGCACCTAGAGCCTGGGCCACACCAGGTCTCAGGCGTGAGCAACAGAGGGCGGTGCGGGCTCCGACAGCCGGGCCACACCCCAAAGAATGGTTCTCGGGCTGGGGTCCTGGTCCACACACTGGCCGACTGTGTGCCCTTGGGAGCCACTAGGCCTCAGTTTCCCCATCTGTAAACAGGGCGATAACAATACCTGCTCCCTAGGGCTGTGGTGACGATTCGGGCTCGGGAATCTCACCCCCCCTCGCCCCCAGGCTGGGAAAGCCTGCTTTTGTTGGGGTGGCCCGGCCTACAGAGCCAGGAGGAGACGCACGCCTTCCTTCGTGCGTGGCAGGAGCGTGGGGGCTTAGATGTGAGGCCGCGCATGGCAGGAGCGAGAGGCCGGACCCCCGACGGGGCAGGAGGAGGGGGCTACGGAGCACCAAGAACTTGAGGGGCAGCTTTGGGCGGGAGATGACAGACAGAGGCAGGCGCCCAGCTCAGCGGGGTGGGGTCTGCAGGGGCTCCAGGCCACGGGGACGGGGGCATCGGCCCAGGGGAAGGGGAGGGGGCAAAGGCAGGCTCATCAGTGACCAGGGGCATGAGGCCTGCGGCGGGCAGCGGGGCCACTCCCGGCTCTGCAGTCACTCTCGCACCACGGAGCCCAGGGCTAGAGGGGCCGACCTCTCAGCTGCGGCCAGAACCCTCCTCCGGGCACCGGGTGACCGGTCCTCACCGTCCCCTGAGCAGCACCCGGGGGAGGGTTCCCCGAGGACGGGGCAGGAA